CGAAATACTACTTCGTGCGCACGAAATACTACTTAGTGGCCACAATTAAAAAATTTTTTTTGACCATGTCATCAGAGGGGCTCCGTAATTTTTAAATACATTTTGGGAAAGAAATTCACAAATGTTATTTTTATTTTTTATAAGGCAACTTTTTCTTTTTTTTTTTTTACTCAATAAAGCCTGAATATGCATTAAAGTCTATGGATTGAATGTGACAAAATGGGAAAAAGGTTTAACAGGTAGAAAATAAGACACTCTACCTTTGATACAACTAAATTATGCTTTTTAATTATAATCTAGTCCAAGCAGCTCCCCTGTTTCTCCTTATTTTTTTTTCCAGAAAGGCATTACCTCACAGCCTGACGTACGCTTCCCTCAACAGAATGAAATGAAAATGGGAACTCTCAAAAACAACTGAATTATGAATAACTTTAGATGTATAAATAAAACCATATAACCAACAGTGGACCAAACAAAGTGCAGAAAATTGAATCTGTGCTTTGCACAAATGCAGATATAAATGATTAATGCTTGCCATGACCCCCTTTTCCTGTCACATAAGCACTCGTTACTGTGGAGAGCTGTAGTGCACCACTAGAAACAGAGAGCACAAGAAAACATACACTGTCTCAAGTAGAGCCTGTTATTATTATATATAATAAATAACAAATTTAAATGGATATAAAAATACATTTTTAGCTTGATATAAAAGTGCTTTTAGCTTCCTTTATTTAAGCTATTAAATAAATGCCACAAGCTTGTTTTTAATTAATTTCTGGTTATCCTGATAAATCAAACCAATCAGTCTTTTGAAGTCTCTAACAGTTTTACCTACAAAGTTTTTCCTATATTTACTGGCATCCAATTTCTGAAAAACTCCTATTTGTGTGACCTGCATGTGACTGATTGGTTACATTGTATAAACCAGTGTTTTTTTACAACACAAATCCATTAATTTTACCCAATAAATTCACCAGCCTGCGTTCAAAAACATAAACTTTTGAAACATTACTTAATAAATCCTAATAATGTAGCGTCCGATAGCAAGACATCAATTTTTCTGGCTCTGATGGAGATTTATTGATTTCAGTTCCTGAAAATGTTAATAGATACATAAAAGACTAAAAGCTAATTTTTAACAAACATTAATTTTTTAAAATGGACATTTAAAAAAAACGCAAACCAGAAATAAATCGATAAAAAAATGTCAAAGTAACTTTACATTTTTTTCTAATTATGATTTTTTTCCCCCAAATTCTTTTTAAAAAAAAAAAAAAAGGAAAATTGTGTTTTCTAGATCACATTCTATTTACTTCAAGCCCAATAAAAACACTCATGACCCATAAAAAAGTTGTTGTTACTAACATTCAGCACAACATGTGTTGGATCAGACAGATGCAGCTGATCCAGAAGGCTGCTGCCAGCATTCTCACTAGAACTAAGAAAGTTGAGCACATAAGCCTAGTTCTGAAGTCCTTGCACTGGCTCCGCTTATCTCACAGAATAGACTTTATAGTCCTTCAATTAGTCAAGAAATCACTGAATGGCTTAACTACAAAATACATTGAATGGTTGTTGTTTATACCGTGGTATCAAACCCTTTGCATTGGACTGATTTTAGGTACACCCCAGAAACAGGCTCTCTGTCATGGAAACAAATTCCCTTAAGTTCTCTAGTAGTTTTTTAATAAATCTAAAGGCACCGAACCTCTAAACCTTATGCAAAGATGTCACCACCACATTTGGCATGATCCCGGCACTGCTGCTGATCTGATTCCTTATCAGGAATGCTCAGCTCCGCCCCATTTTTCATCACCACTCATCTTATTCCACCTACTACTAAAGGCATATAACCAGCCTTCAGACCAGAAATCAGTGCCAGATTATTTGGTCCCATGTGCTTGATGAAACGTTCATTCCGGATTTCCTGACTGCCTGATTCCCGACCTTTTTCTGCCTTTCGATTGCTGAGCCTACTGTACCTGATCCCTGTGCAGAGATGGGAAGTAACGAAGTACAAATACTTCGCTACTGTACTCAAGTAGATTTTTCTGATATTTTTACTTTACT